TTTTGAGAGGGAAATGGAAATTCCATTCCAAGGTCACTGTCTATAAGTTTAATGGTCTGAAAACTGTAGCAGTATTGTGATCGGTTAAGAGCTCTAAAGGCGTACAAGTTACGGTGTGTGTCAGTCTAGTGACTCTAGCCCGTGCCTTGTATGGCAGAACCCTTTCCTACGTACTCGTCCTTTAGATATCTTACAAGACTTCAAAGCGTTTACCCTTAACCACCAGAAAAGATAACCATTTCATCTAAGCAACTGATTCTGCACGCTTCAATGTGTTCATTGTTATGAGAAATCATCCGTTCGTTCTATGGAAAAAGCCTCCCGAAGCACATACACAGCAACCACAGAATAGTCGCATTAGACATTGTTATACGACCAAAATTTTCCAAGCTGAGTTTCTCCTCTTCTGCTCAACTTCCACTACTTACAAGTATCAAATGAGTAAGACTGGCTCGCACTGAGCAATGTCAAAGTTATCATTACATTATGAAGAGCTAAGCTTCCAGCTCAGGGCCGCGCTCTGGCTCACACCCCCTCCTCGAGGCAATGTGCTGATACATCACATTTGAAGCACAATCTCTTTCAATGATAATTTGTGATATAAAAAGTTACTGAAAAGTTTTCCCAACTTCTGCAGTATTGTAATGAGGCTCTAATCATATGTTATATATGTAGACCAGGAGAAACTCGAGCGGAAGGGATCTGGTTCCGAGAGGAAATAGCAAGTCTTCTCATCGGGCAGATTTCAACAGTTGAAGCCGACCTTGGACGGTGGAACCATACAAATAATGGACAAATATAAGCCGAGCAAGTTGCATTGGTGAAGAGATAACTGGTTTCTGTTCATAGGAAACTTTTACTCAATCAAATAAACTGAGGTATACGATGTAATCCTTGTTTTTTTGTCTTTTCAATCAAACGAGAATCGCAAACTTGCTCAATTTACATTCAGCTGAAGCAGGAGCATCACATCACTTCTGGCGAGCGACCAAATTCTCTGTCTAATGAACAAAAACCTAACAAGAATATTTGATCGCAGTTTTCTGCCACTTCGGCCGTCCTGTAAGCACTGCTGTGGATAAAGGCAGAAATAACCGATTCATGTTAGAAGAGGAGCACGCCGGTGAAAAGTAAAGCCGAAAGTAGTGGGTAACGAGTAGTAATGTTGAACTAGCTCGTTCCATTTGGAATTGNACAAGAATATTTGATCGCAGTTTTCTGCCACTTCGGCCGTCCTGTAAGCACTGCTGTGGATAAAGGCAGAAAAAACCGATTCATGTTAGAGGAGGAGCAGGCCGGTAAAAAGTACAGTCGAAAGTAATGAGTAACGAGTAGTAATGTAGGACTAAATCCTTTCATTTGGAACCGTCAGGTTAATATCCTAATGTCTATGAGAATTAATAATATGCTTGAGTTTTGTGTGTATCTTGTTGTGTTTTTGTTTGTGTTGCCATTTGGCAGCCCCACATGCTGACATGTAATAATTAAATAAATAAATAAACAAATACTGCTGAAATAATTAAAATAATATTTAAGATTGTGAGACAATTGCAAAAGTTGGATCTAAGCATCACTAGCAAAGATTTCAGTAGTATAGCTTTACGCTTCATTTCTCAAAAACTCAAACATCACCTGCCCTGTAAAGAAAATTTTGGCATTTTTTTGGCCATTTTCATAGTTTGATTAGTTACCTGGTAAGTTTAAAGTATGGGCATGTATTCACATCAAACATTATCGAACAACATTATTATCTTAAACATTATCGAATCTCCTCATGAGTATATCAACTACATTCATATACTTACATCCGCCCGAACCCATTTCCACATTCTTAGAAAAAAAATGATAGAAATAATTTTTTTATTTTAATTTTTTTAATTTAAATAAATCAGATTTTATTGTTGTCGACATCTACAATACTTGATATTGAGTTTTTAACATCTGCAAATTCTGAAGTTGTTGTTTTCCAAACCTTAGACAGTGTTAAACTTTCAGGGTGGTCTAATGTCGCATACACATTAGGATTTGGCGAATGGAAAACAAAGACCGAACAAAAAACCTCAAGAAAATACAAGAACTTCTAATTTTCTAATTCACTGTGTTAAAATTACAGTTTTCAAGTAATATCTAGATATTTGATTGGAACATTTTACTAGTTTACCAGATAGTACGCCCTAGCTCCAACAATCCAAAATTTTAGGGACCGTTTTCTTTTCAAGAGCCATTCGTGAGGTTGGAATGTTTAGAGAATTTCTAGAATTCCGATAATATTCCTTCAAGCTTGAGAGCAACCAGTCGGATCGTCGATTCAACGCCGATTTTACCGGATTAGCTAGACAGTAGACGCGACAATACACAAAGGGGGACCGGTCCGCTTTTGAAACCTTTTCGCTATATTCGTAACTCGTTTCTTGCCATCGTAGTCGTGTAATGGAGCGGACAGCGAAACGAATAGCATGTGAAGAAATGCTGCTTAATCTCAAAGGTCTTCCGCATTACAACGTAGAAGAAAGGTCGAGACTTGAAGCTGGTATGAGTATAAGCGGAGCATGACTCATACGGTATGGTGGTTCCACCATCACCATTTGCGGTTTCTTGCCACCAACCACCATAGATCGGTGTAAAGCCATCATGCGTTGTACCGTCATCGTCACCGACCGACCGACAATACGATAAACTTGTTCTGCCAGTTGAGGACGAACACAAAGAGCCAATCGGACCTCAACTTTACATGATGAGAAGGCAATCGTGTGTGAGAGGAAGGAAGCCCAAAGAACCCCGATGAGTCAAACGGGTGAGATAGAGCGTAAGCAACGGCTACAAAAATGTAAGAACTGAGTGCTGCATTCAGACCTCCCATGCCGACCAACAATAATACCATTCACGTAGAGTAGTACAAAAACCGGAGGCTGCTTTGTAAGGAGTCGATCTGGTTGGGTGGAGTCGAATGAAAGGAGAATCTTGTGAAGTTTGAATGAATAGCACTTCTATGGTTCCAGCAGAACTTCTGGATAAAGAACTTTTGCCTCACTGTAGCCTTAGTGCTTCAATGTTAGAAACAGACGAGTCAAAACGGAAATCGGAAATCGATTTCCGGAACACAGCCGGGGTGGTCTCAAGAGGGTTTCCTAAGCATTGTTTTTAGATGTAGGAAGAACAGATAGGTTTGAGGACACTGAGAGAGTTGGAGGATTTCGCATTGGCAGGTCTAAAGTCTGACTTTTCATTTCAAGGTCAGGTTTCCTCCATGATGACGTCGTAAAAGATGCTTCGAACTTCAGCCTCTCCAGTTTTTCTGACATTGAGGCGGCATCTTCATAGTTGTGACTCACCGCCGTATTACACGCTTTCTGGCCCCTACGGCGACGATCGTCGTGCCCCCCCACCCCGCGCCTCCGCCGACTGGTATAAAAGGGACCCACCACGGGGCATCTCGTCACACATACCACAGGCATACCATCCGAGGAGTCAGCGGAGGAAACAGAAAAACTCCTCATACTTCCTCATCCATTGCAACCTGCCTCATTGCTCGTTCCATTTGTCCCAACGAATTGGATCTTACTATTCCATGTGGTCCTCTGATTTCCTCTGAGCCACATTTATCTTTCACGTTTTACTAACAAGTACTACTGATATTCTTCAGATGTCCAAAGCCTTCATTGCATCATCGCTTCTGATCCTCTCCACCTTTACCGACATCACCTCGGCATGTTTTGCATCAGGTGTATGTGGTGGAGGTTGTGCTCCACCTCCTCCTGCTCCAGTCTGTGGTGGTGAGCATCAACATAATGTTGTGTCTTCAAGACCAGGCATCTGTATCACTCCGTTTCAGGAGGATGCGGTGGAGGTTATACTTGTGGTCACTACGGCTGTTACCGTGCCAGAGCACGTGCCGCTTCAGCTCGTACATTGGCAGTGGACGGCCATGAAAGAGTAAGGGATTACTTTAAATGATTTTTTGTTCCCCTAAGTAATATGCATCCTTGCAGAAGCCAGCCAGCCCTGATGAGAAATTCATGCAGTGCTGTATTGATAGAAATCTCCCTGACTCATGCCTGAACAAATGCTCTTTCCGAACCTACACCAAGGCTGCCCTACAGGTAATCTTTTATTTCTTAAACTGAAATTTTAAGAACCTCAGGAGCACAACCAGCTACAAGTTAGTTACAAACTTCAAATAAATGCTCTGTGAAGAGTGCCTGCTCCGAAATAAGCCAGGGCTACTGCTGGTTACTAGTAAACACCAGCATATAGCCTATAGGAAGTGCTCTCGGAGGGACTTCCAGGTTTCTCGACCACGCTCATTTACTTTACAGCATCCACGGTCACCTGCCAGTTTAGGAGATTTCTTAAAAGTTAATGCTCACCCCTTTAGATGACTACAAGAGTACGCCCAAGTTGGGACCCACGGGCGAGAAATCAGCGTTTGAAAGTTCTCCTTCCTACTTCCGGTATAGCTAGTTGTAGGAAAAACGTAGGCGGGATATAAATGGGTAAGGACCAGTTCTAAGAAGCAGAAAAAACCAAACAAATAGAAGATTATGGGTAAGATGACGGCTTGACCTTGTGCCATGTTCTTTCTTTCATCTGTAACAACGGGTACAATTCCTGTTTCGTGTCAGAAATAGATCTCGCGTATCAAACGAGTTCCCCCACCCAAACGAAGCATGGATCGTTGAGTGCACGTAGAACCCACCCCAGCGTGACCCAGATTCCTGTCTGCCATTGACATTGTAAACAGTGAAAAAGTGTAGTGGCAATGGCAGATCAATGGGGAAGAAAAGCTGGTAATTGCGTTCTTCTATTCAATACTCAGAACAGACTGTAACCTCAAATAAGTGGTACAAAATTTTAAATCAAAGCCACATTGAAGTGAAATGATAAGTTTCTGTCTTCAGACAGTGAAACCTCCAATAAAAATATACATTTTGGGGAGAGGTGCCTTCAGAGTAGAGGATGCTAGTATCACGAATTCCGCCCAGGTAATAGGTACCGCCCCTTCGCGGTGATTACGAAAAGCTTCTTGCCGATGAGGGACAGACATGATGACCCATAGTTGTTGAAATTTCTTATGGCGTCTGTTGGTAGCAAATTGCTCAGGTAGCTATACAACAAGCTCTACGTAAGTCTGAGGTAATTTTTCTAATCAATACCCATACTGACAACGTAAACCTCATCTGTAAGCCGATCACTTAGCTTTTGGTAATTGTATTTCACACCTAAACAGCAGTGTAACTCTTGAAGTTCAGTATTGTTAGCGATTCATGTTTTACTATTTCAGGCCATGTACTTCAAGCAGGATTCCTGTCCCATGCAAGCGGCCGCTGACATTCAGTTCTGTGCTGCTCAGGGACGAGATCACAGAGAATGTTGTGCTAGAAATGGTGTCACTACGACACTAGCTGGATACAAGGTTTGTACCTGATTCCTCTAAAAGGGCCACTTCGTCAGAGTTTTTTGATGGCGCATGTTGTCAAGAGTTGCCTGGCCTTTCACAACTGCATTTTCACAAAATTTGGGTCTTGGGTGGAACAATCAAAGGCATTGTACCGCTGAGTGCGTTGCCTCAGCCCTAGCGCACCCCTCATTGGTGTTTTGTAGATCAAAATGGAAACCCGCCAATGAAAAAGGTCTGAAGGTCCCAAGAGCTCCACCTCCTGGTTTGCCTGCCGCGGTGTCTCTTCTAGGAGCATTCATACATAAATCTTACTTGACTGACTGCATAACACAACAAGTTATTTCCAGTGCATGACCTTCTGCGACCAGCGTCCAGGAAATGTCACTCAACTGGACTTCACCTATTTGGCATGCTACGATCGTTTCGAGAACATGAAGGCATGTTTCTGGCACAATATCTCCCAGGAGAGTGCCACAGAATCAGCAGCAGCAACGGCTGTCGAGGAGCAGCAACAGCCTGAGGAATCGTTCTCGTTTGATGAACGTCCACAAGCATTCTCCGACAGTGTTGCGCCACGCCTGAATCTCAGATTAGGAGGAAGCTCTCGTACACTTCGCGCTAAAGTATTCGACTGAAAAATGTATGTTATCTATTGTATCTAATGACCACTTAATCAGTATTGTATGTAAAATTTGCGAATGTAAATAAATGTTTGTATTTACTGCAAATAGACACACCTGCTCTGCAAACCATAGTGATCAAAACTTTTCAGAATATTATTTGATGCTCGGAGAATTCAGCAAAGAATCAGAATTCCTAGAAGGGTTCAGCCTTATTAGGACCCTGACTTTTCAAATCAATAAGGTTCTGGGAGTAATGAAAGTTAATCAATACACAGAAACTTTTAATAGCACTCTTCCTGTATAGTGGATTCGAAGCAATCAAATCTAACTTATCAAAGAACAGGTGTTGTTCGCCGAAATAAGTTTGTATACAAGGTTGCTTATAGAATGGGAAAGAAAGAAAGAAAAAAACAAGAAGTGCACAGTATCGACCAAATCCGACGATACGCCATTCATTCGATTCCCCTCAGGACTCGTAGTGCAGAATCATAGGACATTTGAATAAATCTTTGGCATGTACAATGAATTTCGAGGGGCAGACGATAACAGCAACATAGACAAGGTGTAATTGCTTGTAGATACCACCATAATTTATTTATACAACCCTTGTTCTAAGTACATGCGGTATGCTCCTCCTAAACAGGTGCACTCCTTGGGGTGTGGTGCAGTAGGAACGAAATTGTCGCCTCGCGACGAGAACGACGCCGAGGGCAAAGGATTGTAGCAGAATAGTGCAGCAAGTAAGAGATACACTGACAAAAGAACTAACAGTAGAGTCATGCCTGAAGTAATAACCGCATGAAGATTGAGCCGTATGAAGAAGCTAGAACCGTTACAACGAGGCAAATGGTCCGCGACAGCCGCGTGCGGTGGATCGATTACACAAAACCGTCCCTACTGCCCGTCCTCCTACTTCTTGCTATGATAGGGTCAACTTGAACGGGAACACTTTATTGCCTTCACATTATTGCCTTTCATGTTGGATTACTCGGCCTTCCCCTGTTCCAACCGTCATTCGTGGATGCTGCGTATACTTCTTTTCCTTCCTACTTTCCTCGCCTACTCGACCCTGGGGTGGTACGCTCATCCCATCTCCCATGTTACACTACTACTTACACTTACGACTTCATGTTTACATGTGTACTTGAGAACGACCGGGAATCGTACAGCAACCAGCATTCCCCTTTTCCTTCTTCGGTAGGTGGGATAGCGAGATGAAAAGATCATCATAATTTTCCTGTTTTACTATCCAGTCCAATGTCCTTCCCGAGCCTCGAAATCCTCCCTTTTGTATGTTCTTATCAGACACTCTTCCAATATAACATTTAGACCCTTCAAAGGCACGGTTCACGATAAAAATGCTTACTGAGTTCTTTCCTCAAGAATACTCAGTGGCCCCCAAGGGTAGTAGAAAAGACCTTCTTCGCATCTAAAAACTCGACGTTAGGGCATAAAGGAAACCCTGTTCCCGGATCGCGCGGTCTTTCCGGCCCTCGACCGATGCCACATCAGAGGAGTGCCGAGGCAATACAGATTGCAAACCGCTCTAGGACCCACAGTATCTCGTGAACTGCGCCTTTAAAGAATACTTACCGTCATTATTGTGTGGTGGTTGTGATTTATGCTTTTCATATAAGTTATTACTGCAAATTCGAAAGTTATTCCATCAGAGAGAGAAAAGCAGTTCCAAACGTACTTATGAGGTAACTCTTTAGCTTACGTATTTTTCTGCATTGTATTCTTCTTCCTAACTTTGTTTATTACATTGTCTCCTTTGTATTTTTATACGTATAGTTTTATTCTTATACTTCTCTCATTTATTTATTCCATTTTACATATCTTTCGGGGAATTCCTCTGGTGCGACTCCATAGGGTATACTGACACAGCAAGTGTCATTGATATTCTATTCCACACTTTCTCTTCAGAAATGATTGATAGGTACGTTTATGAGAAAAACGACTGACGTATTCGTCAAAACAGGGAACAATGGAGGGGAAAATGGGGAAAAAACTTGATATGGCCGTACAGATAAAGAAGTCGAAGGGTAAGGAGAGGAAGTGGTCACAAAAAAAGATGGGAGGACTTGTGCTTCTTCAGAACGAAGGAATGAACGAGTAAAGGCTGTTTTCTGCTAAACTGAAGAAAAGAGGCCACCTTATTGTTCCCTGCAAGTGTGGGATGCGCCATGCATCAAGATCACATCAATCAAAAGGGCGTGGGGGTGATAGAACTTATGTCCAACGGAGGTAACGTCAAAAGAATCAAGGTCAACAGTATCATCTATAGTCACACTGATCGTTTACTTTCGTGAGAGAACAGCAGTCACGTCATAGTTTGTCCCGGTCTGTCCTTCGTTCTCTCTAGGTTCCCCTTTCTAAAACTGGTGTAATAACTTTCGGCAAGGATTCCTGATAGTTTCCCAGTTATTGTAGGGAGCTTCCTAGATGCCAGATGTACAGGCTCGAAATGATTCATAACGGAGCTCTTCCTTAATGAATAGGTTTCTCCCGTTGCCAGGGGGAACCCAGCAAGCAACTCTGTTCATTTGCCATTTTTTGCTTCATAAAACGTGACAATTTCTGTTCATTTTTTTCATAGCAATAATGTTTCAGGGTGTCAATTATCCCAATGACCTTCATATCATTACTGGGTACTATCCAATGATAACATATCAATGGGAACATCAATCTTTTCTCGTGATTAGAAGTGTCCCTTTTGCTTTGTCAAAGATTCCTCTGTCCAGTACACACCTTAATACCTCGTGTAAGCTTTTAGCTGTTCAAACTTTATCATCGTTTGCTCAGTACATCTGGTACGGTCGCCGTTTTCAAACACGTTGGAAGTGCGGACTGCAGCAGTTTGTACCCCTTTCCTCCGGTCCTCCCACACTCCCTCCCTCACTGTGTAGGAAGGGGTCCCGCCCACTGAATGACCTGTTGTTGATGGCAGCTCCGCATTGGAGTTTTGTACTCACAGCCCGTTACATAGGTCATTTTATAGGTAATCTTAATAGTAAAACTCTTTTCAATGGGGCTTTTTTCCAATGCATCCTTTCTAGTTGTATTGGCAAAAGAACGGCAGGAAAAGCCGAAGCCATCGGGGTGAGGCTGCAGTATCGATTCGTACTCGGGTTAGGGGGTCATCAGGGGTTTATGTAGAAATCTCTAAAGTCTATATTTATTATTAGTAACTATATCATATGCAGACGTGCCGACCACTTAAATTTTGCATGACAAACCTCTTTTTTACAAATTGGATGGCCTCTGGACCGACCATTTCATTTTATTGGCATGGGAACTTTTCCAGACAAGTAGTATATCCAAGTATTTACTAAATTTTGATTATCTCCCAGAACAGAACGGGCTTTTTGTTCCGAGAATTGCCTCAAGAACGTTGAAAGCGTCACAGAAAATTCGGGAAACATCGCTTACGTCATCATTCTGGAACTTTACATCATACTCACGTGGGAATTCTTCTTTTTCATTCATTTGTTAAACATCTTGTGGTGTCATCGATCATAAACCTTTGGTCAAATCCTTCCTTTACAATGCCCACCCTTCCCGTTTCACAATTTGCCCGTTGGCATCTCATGCCCACCCTTTTCATGGTTCTTTTCCTTCTAGTATAACGAAGTTGAATAGGCTTGATATAAGAACGGCTGTTCACATCTGTACACCCTCCTTTGCTTCATATTACTACAAGTCGTAAAGTAACACATGTTAGTCGTGGAGTAGTCACGGACAAAAAAACCGCGCAGCTCATTCTATAACACAGCGTTGCTCACTTATTTTACGCCTAGTAGTACGGTGGGAATTCGAACGTGGATTGAATTTCCGCTTTCAGGTTTGAACTGTTCCCTTGTCTGTTTTTCTCTTCTTATCCAGGCTTACAAGTGATAACTTATCAGTACTCATTTTGTAACTAGTTGTCCACTAAGTAACTAAGCGCTCTTGAAGTTCATTGTGACGACTCAGTATCCTCGAATATCTTGAATTATCATGAAATCGATTTGCTTGCAATGATCGACAGCCTTTTTCAGGATCTGCTCTCTCATTGATTTTACTAGTACAGTAAGTTATCGGTAGCTTTTTTTCAGGCAAGTACCGACCACTGAGACCGGGGCGGTGAAATAATGGACGTTCCACAGGCGAAAGGTGCGAAAAAGTTTTTAATTGTATTTTTTGAGAAGTTCGACGGAACAGTTATCTTACTGATAACGAACACTTCCCTATCGCGCTGTCAGCTCCCAGTTTTTTTTTTAGGGTTCAAGCAAATGTTGCAATTCCTTTAAAATAGCCCTCCGTACCCAGTCGTCCTTTATGTCCACCACCTTCTCTGCTTCAAAACCCCATCCCAATTCCTTTGGGGTCCTTCATAAGTCCATCATGGTCCCTGCGTCCTCGTTTACAACTCTTTTTTGTAGGGTTTAGCTAGACTAACTAGTAAAGATAAGTGGTAAACAAACAAAAATAAAGTGGTTTTTTCACTTTCGTATTAGTGGAACCTCTTTTGTCTTTCTCCGAAGGCTTTCATCAGTCCTCTGGGCTCTTCCATTGACCAAAGTCAGCAAAAAAGTTTCGGTTCTGTACCCTCGGTAATTAATGTTTTATTATGATATGGAACGATAAAATCACCCCCCCCCCCAAACATTTTCTAGTGCAGTGGTTCTATGGAACTTTCTGATTACCCTGTAACAGGGGGCGTGGAATAAAATCGTTCTGGACACGCAACGTTTGAAACTACATAGCAGAAACGAGAAACCTATTTTATCTGGCAGTTGGCCAAGTTGAAACCCCATGGCTCAAGCTTCTTTCGATTTCACGATTTCATTGGCAAAATGAATCCAATCCTTTTCTGATATTGTTTTTTTTGAAATTCTTCTTGAAAATGAACGGCGATGATCCCTAGCTTATAGTTGATGTCACTAACCTGTCTCAGTCGAACCAGGATGAAATTAATTTTGAAAGTAGGTCTGGAAAGCAAGTGATTCCATTGTTTCAGCAGACTCCGATCAGGAAAGGCAGCTCTCTGATGAGGGGGTACCATTCATACAAAGTACCAGCAGCCCTGATGATGAGGCACCAAAGGTATCTATGTTTTCCTCCTTCGTTTCATTAAGTTATTGGGTATTAGTTGGTATTGATCGGGGATGAGCGTAGCTGCGCGTCTTTTCCATATCCATGCTAGATTTATTCGTTCAATGTCGTCTGTTGAGGATGATGTTCAGGATGTCGGAAACCTCGTCTACCTTATTGTCATGCTTCATGGAGTCGGTACGCTAATGCCATGGAATATGTTCATCACCATCGCTCCTGATGTAGGTGGATAGAACTTTCAAAATAATGCTATTTTTCGAATGTTCCAACTGCATTCACATACGGTGTCAAAAGGCCTTCTATCAGGTTTAGATCTAGAGATTTAGCAGATTAGCGGTAATGTCTAAGATGCATATTGATCAGGAATGCGCGCCGTCGGGCAGATCGCCAATCTGCGACCATGTTTGCGTTGCGTATCGATTATGTTACTATAAAGTAGGACCTCCAGCTGAGGTTTAAGCACCTTTCAACAGTTAGAATGCGTAGTGATTGAGCTACTACCAAAGAATTTAGTACAAACCGATTTGTCAGATGGCGTAAGTCGCCAGATCTGGACGAGTTTTTGCTTTCGAAATCTAAGATTAGTAATTTGGCTGCTTCCTTGGTGCAAAATATAGCCTCAGTGTGGGACTTAAGGTTCACTTTACTGCTTACCCGTAACTCTAGTATACAATACATTGAAGAGCGCAATCTCAGTATAGGTTGGGAGACCTTCGCGAGATGGCAAATATTCACTTTTGTTTTGTACAATTGAACAGTCTTTACTGCTTCGCCTTTATTCTTACTATTTCAGTACTATACTAATTACAAAATGAAAACATTCGATGAAAATGGTACCGCACATGCAACTGTATACTCGGCTAACTTCCTCAACTACCTTGCCATTGCTTCACAAATCCCTAACTTACTACTCAACTTCATTAACATCTTCGTGACCGTCAAGTAAGTGAACTTTTTATTTATCAGCATTTCAGCTTGCACATGTTTCAGAGAATTTTTTTAGCGTTTTGAACTTTTTTCAAAATTACTTACTTTACCTCTGCTATGTATTATAGTCTATTGCATCAGAATGAATATGTAATCGAGTCCCAAATATTGAAAAGTTCTATCAATCTGTTCGGATAAAGGTGTTTTGAAGGCCCTCTAGAACTAATTCATGGCGTACTACTAGTTGCACCTGCACCATGATAGCCTAGAGGGCTTCAGACCTCAAGAAGGTGGAGGAATACAGGACTTTGTAGGTGAATGGTTATCTGCATTTCATTTCTTCCAAAGCCAAATCTAAAGTGACCGATATACCATTTCGTACACTAAAGTGACCGATATATCATTTCGTACACACACTGCAGAAAAGTCGCACGATTTGCGTATCGCAACATCGCACGCTTCAACATGGGCACGATTATTGATTACCGTTCGTGATTTGCCTTCTTGCCGAAATTGTTAGTAAATTAGGGGATAGTAATAATAATAATGATGGTAAAAATAGTAAATAACCTGATTTCAAAAATTTCTAGCCACTTTTTTCAGGCCCTATGTTTCATTTCGATTTTTTCAAACAATAGCTTGTAAATTTTCAGAGGTGATTTAACAAAACGGATTTCTATTTCACTACTAATTGTCGGTGCAATGATTGTATTCACAATGAGTTTTGTATACGTCGACACTTGGAAATGTACGTTGGTTTTTTCCTTCGACTATTTCAATCAATTGAATCGTTGACTTCTTAGACTTATCAGACTTTTTTCGAGTGAATAGGGTCCATCATTCGTCTTTCAAGCTTTTAGTCCTTTGTTTAATCCTTTGTTTGCTTCATCACGAAGTACTTTTCTGAGCATTGCACATTTATTGAGAAATGATCGATTGTATGGAGTTTACCTAAAACATATCGATTTCCCAGGGATGGGCACATTTTTCGCGATCACGCTGTTATCGATCGTGCTTTTGAATGGAGCTAATGGGATTTACCAGAACAGGTTCGCAGTAATTAAGGAGTAATCTACAAGAAATTGATTATTCTTATGGATATTCAGCATATTCGGTCTAGCATCCGATTTTCCGTTCAAATTTACCAATGCTGTTATCATTGGCAATAATCTTTGTGGAACATTTGTTACAATCGTCAACATTATTACCGCTTTCGGTGAGTTTTCTCAATGTTTTTATTTGTTTTGCTTTTTCCCTTTTCCCTTTTTTCTACTTATTGTGTCGTGTAATCGTGCTTTGATAAGGAATGGCTTAAAAAATGGGGAGGGGAGGGGGTAATGTGTTAGATATGAAAGCAAGGGAAGGGGTCGACGTAGTAACTCCAGTTGGGTAAACGCTTCGACCAAAAAGCTTTGCATACCCAGTGGGGCCTAACATTATAGGGGATGGCTCTTCAAATGTCCCTCCTTACCCGTTTTTTCCTCCTCTTCCTTCCATTCCATTTGGTTTTGAAGAAGCCATTCTCAACGTGTTATCCTTGATCTTGGTTTGGGGGTGTGCCCGATAGCTTACCCAGAAGGTATGTAACAAAGCCAATGTGGAAATCCTCGAAACTTTCCGAATTATTGAGTATATTGAGGGTTGCGCCTCTTTCGTCAGTATGACCTCTCCCTCTCAAAGAATTCTCCTAAGCAATGGAGCGCAGTAACGAATGAGCTATTGTTGTAAGAGTACTTCAGAGGCAGAAGGCAGAAAGGAAATGAAAAGTAAAGCTTCGACTCGTCGCTAAGCTTATATACGAAAACGAGTATTGCAGATGTTACTGGAATAGCAGATGTCACCTAAAAAGTAGGGCCAAGTGTCAGGACAAAACGTAGTCAATAATATAAAGCCTGCGCCAAATTCTTACTAAACATGCTCAAAATTTGCATTGTCTAACTCGACGCTAATTTTGTCTGTGTCAGTGGTTTACTCAACTTACCAAATTCGCTGTACCAGTTGCGTTTCTGAGGATATTCAGTCGAAACCTATGAAGACTGATGCCTTCTGTAACCATTTCCGACATTCGCAGTAACAATGTGACAATTTCGCTGCCGATTCATTATCTTCTGCATTTGAAGGTTTACTAGCAGATGGGGTGATGAAGATGAAAGACGGGTGCATGATATTGCTGAGAAAAAACACTTTGAATGTTTTTAAAATCTTAATTTTGGCGCGTCTCTTTATATAAATAAGGAATTACTTGGCAAAGTGCCTACTCACGTGCGCGTTATTGACTGATAAGAACTACGGCCGAACATTAACATTACTGTAAGGTATTTCGGGAATCATTCAAAGGACGTACTCGGTAATTATGAGTTTAGAGAGGTAATTTATGACGAAACATCGTCCTTGATAATGGGAGATCATTTATTCTGGAGAGTTGCAGAAGCTCCATGACGTTCTCGGAAATGCCTTTTCGGCTGTATTGGAAGTGTTTGATAGAACTGGTTGACTGGAAGAGTTTTCCAATGGATTCTGTCCCTATTCTTTTATTTCGGATATTTTCAGTTTCGAAAAACACCGCCAATGCAGCATTCGCCTACTTTGGTATATCACTTTTTACTCTTGGAGTCTGTTTCGCTTCATTCTTCCTTCTTAAGAAGCAGGTATGTATTTTTCTGAGGGATTCCTTATTCTAGCTCTTTATTTTCTTTTATCATTACCGTTTACAGCGGTTTTACCAGTTCTACTCCAAGCGTGCTATGATGGCACGTCAAAGCGAGGGTACCGATTCGAAACCGGGTCTTACCGTTCGCGATTATGTTGACGCTTTCAAACAGGTGAGCCCCGAATTTCAGTGTAAGCGGCTTCTAGTACTCGTTTTGTTTCAGGGCTGGCCCCAGATGATCAATGTTTACTTGGTGTTCTTTGTGAGTCTTAGCATTTTCCCTGGAATTATGGTCGATGTACGCGATGAACTGATCGGACAGAAGTACTCTTTCGTATTACCAGGTATGATTGCTGTTAATTTTTCAAAGCCTCTTTGGTTCAAGTGGTACTAGTAAATTGTAAAGTAGATTTCGCACGCAATGCTACAGTGGAACGCTTACTAGTAAGAGTCTCGGCATTTGAGTTCTTTCGCGGCGCCGCTGGCGATACTCGCAAAAGCCGTTGTGCGTGAGCGATATTCCGTCTATTCAATTGCTTTGTTCGTATTCTGGAACTTCTGACAAGTTCTGCTTGCTTATGAGAGCTCACACAGGGGAGACGGGCAATAGGAATGGTTTTAGGTAATCGATCCGCCACACGCGGCTGTCGCGGACCACTTGCCTCGTCATAACAGTTCTAACGTTCTTCACACAGCTCAATCGCTATGCGACTACTACTTATAGCATGATCCTAATGTTGGTTCTTCTGTTCCTGTATTTCTTACTCGCTGCTGCATTCTGCTACATTCCTTCGTGCACGACGTGGTTTTCGCCGTGCGCGACCATTTCGTTCCTACTGTTCCACACCCCTCACACAGTCGTATCTAAGCTGCTTCTAACTAAAACCCAAGCAGGGTCATCTTCCAACTCTTACGTCACCCTCTAACCACGATAGTACGGCGCCAGCTCTGTTCTTTCCAATATTTTCCCGTTCCTCCTTCCCGTTGTATCCAAGCATCGAATAGCGGCTGCCTGTCCATGGAGTATAGAAACAGCTTGCGGATAGATAAATAAAAAATCGCTGTCAACATTTGCTCGCTCACTTACGTTCGACCATAGTCAACATGCATTTCAACTTTTTTTGTTATTTTTGCTGCAGCTCAATTAAGCTACTGTTACAGTACTGTCAGTATAGTTTGTTCAATTTTCTTCCTTGAACATCCCGTGATACTTAACATTTTAGAGAGGTACTTCGTTCCAATCACATGCTTCCTTCTGTTCAATGTATTCGCGTTCATCGGTTCCATGTTGGCTGGACGCTACCAATATGTAGGTATTTTTTATTTTACCATCATTCGATTTTGTTTCTGACCACTATATTACAGCCCGGTCCTAAACATCTTTGGATGGTCGTTTATCCCCGTCTACTCTTCATTCCATTCTTTGCATTCTGCAACTATCGACCGCTTACGAGGTAAGGACCGACCTTCGAAGAATATGGTGTTATATCGAAAAAATTGAGGAAAATGTCTTTTGGCGTTAATCAGTCCTGCTTTTGATGCGCCTCGTACTCGACTTTCATTCGGAATCGTAGTGGCGTATTGAGTGCGTGTTTGGTCTACATCTGCGGTAGTCAGCCAATGTCCGAGTTCGTGTTTTTATTCTACCAGACGATCAGGTCCCAATAAGCCGACCCCGGGAAAATAGAAGGCCTGGTTGGCTAGGGCGGATATAGATTCGGGATTCGGTCGCGGGCGAGAAGCGGGATTAGTGCGCCACTCGCCACACTTCAAAGATCTTGAGGCTCTCCAGCTTTTTCAGATTCAGGGTTCATAAGTTTCGGGTCAACCCACTTTTTAGCACGGGGATAACTAGCTTACTGCCGAGCTTTAGAGGTGTAAATTTGTTTGTTTATCCATAGTTACTCCTCATTTTTATTATTCAGAACATGGACTGTTCTTTTCCCGAGCACCTGGCTTTATGTGTTCATGGGCATGATCATGAGTATATCTAGTGGATATCTCAGTGGATTAGCGATGATGTACGCACCAAAGTGAGTTTTCGTCCAATTTTTTATAGGTACAGTTAAGCCTAATCGATCAAATATTTAAAGCTTTGGCATTGTGCCTAATCGATCAAATATTTAAAGCTTTGTCAATCTTCAACAGCCGTTAAGTTCATTTTTTTGATGGATTATAGTCTGGAACGATTTTAGTCGAGGCTCTGATATTCAAGAATTTGGGGGACAGCCAGTTTATCGGACGTTATGTTCTAAGTGAATATTTAAGATGCGCGATCCATAACTCCCGTTCATGGGTTGTTTTTAAAAACTTTGTGAAGTCAGATATGCACAATATAATATCTTTCCCTCTTACTTGGAATACCTGGGATTGACATTTCGAATTGAAAACTATTTCTACTCTTACTTCGCGAATGACAACACATTCTGAATCCGCCAACTATGACCTTGGCAATATGCCAGCAGCTCGCTTGTTAACTGTGGAGTCTGTTGGCAAGCTGCCATGGCGCTGCAGGGCCAAACAAGGCTCCTGATTAGCTGGTGACTGGTACCGGATATTGATTGATTAAGGCCAGGAATTGGACAGGAGATAGTAATCCTTACTAAGTCTTACTGAAGTACGTAATTATGTGATGATGGTAATTATAACAAGTGATACCCAAGTCCTTCATCCTAACCTCGTTACTACAGTTGCAATCTATATGTGCCACTAGTTAGTAGTTGTGGTCTTTTAACCTATAACCTTCTTAGTTTGTAAGTGGACATTGAAGATTTAATTTTGTAGCACCAGTTACCTTGAACTGAATATGCAAAAGACAGGGAAAAGTATTACTTACTAGGGTGGAGTTGGCAAGAGCCACTCCTTGTGACTCTGCGTCTTTGGCTGCTTTCATAGTCCGCGATATGGCCCGCGAGCGAGTGAGCGCGGCTGCCGGGGGACTACTCGGCCGGCGCGCTCGCGGGCCATGTCGCGGATTATGAAAGCAGCCTTTCACCTCCAGAGCTAGACTGCAGCGAACCTAAAGGCACCGACTTGATCAGTCATGAACATGTCTTGCTGAACCAGTGAGAGAGAAGTTTTCAATTAAGCCCAGAATTGGAGAAGTTTCAGGTTTAGTAAACCAATTTCCACGAGTCAAGGGTTGGTAGGTTCGGTAGGTTTGGTTAGTAGGTTCGGTGGTTGGTGGGTTTTTAGGTTTCAAAGTCCCCAACTTCGTTTTTACGGTGTTCCTTGTCATGAAGTGCAGGAACTACACAGTTACTATGCAGTAAATCCAATTTCAACGTAACTCCAGCAAAATTCAAACCGTTTTTGAGTTGATTTTCTCATAAAACATGCGAACGAGATAATAAATAAGCGCTTACCAACTTACGACTTTTTCAAGAATCAAAATAGTCCTACAAAATTAATTCAAAGCGATGCGAAGATTTATTGAGAGTCGAACTTGAATATTAATAATTAATCTGCAGGGTCGTGGAGCCATCAAAGAGCCGTGTTGTCAGCATGATGGCGGGATTCTTCCTGATATTTGGTGAGTTTATCGATCAGTTTTGCCCTCATAGGCCTTGACAGTAAGGCCTGAATTACGGTTAAGTAGATTTGCACCCGATTATTTGTTTTTTTTTTTTGCCTCAAGTTTTTAAAAGCATGTGAAATTTCCAGGTATCGTCAGCGGTTTGGCATTTACCATTGTTGTGTCGGCTTTTATCGAGTACTAATAACCCAGATATTGATTGAATTTTTTGATTGACCTTATACATTGAATTAGTTACCCCAAATCTCCAAAATTTTCGAAGGTACCCTTACAGTTATTTATAGCATTTACTGATCGCTTTTCGACGTTTTAACTCGATTTGATCAATGATAGTGCTGTCTTCGATAGTTTTACGATACTACTATCATTACTATTACTGTTTCTATGTGCCTATTTCTGCTTTCATTTTCACTCTTTCACAAACTTTTTATTAAGTCTCTACAGTACTAAAATACGGGGAACTTACTGTTGCTACATATAGAAAATGGGAAGTCCTCTGAATATGGGCTCAAGGAGTTTTTCATGGAAGAACTCAATTCTCGTATGAGACTAAAGTGTGAAGCTGGAGTGCCCAGCACTTCGGCTCACCTGCCTGTGGGCGGGCTCGCCAATGTGGGCGGTACTGGCGACTCCAAAGGCTTCTTTTCGTGGTCACTGGTGCGAAAAGTATTAAGTACTCTATAATTGTTGTCACTTTTAAGCGAATCCTGCATCAGATGTCAAAATTAAAGTCCCTCATGTTTTGGTTGCTTTTGAAACTTTTACTAACAAACAATATTTTTACTTCTACTAACAGATAATATTTATAAATTCTGCTTCCATTTTGAGTAGTTTCACTTCGTGGCTCAGCCTTTATAAGCATCTTTACTATCTTCCTGGCATAGTTAAAAATAATTTATGTAGTTATTTTGTACCAGGATGCATATTGACAGTTTGAAATAACTTATTGATCTGTTGTTATTTATGTCATTTGTTGGGCATCACGCCGGTCTTTTATATTTGACCTCATCGTTTTATTGAGCAGTTCAAGTGTTTCATTCATTTCCATAGCATAAATTTTCTGTGGCTCAAATTGTAGTCCACACGTGAAAGTACTGATGGCATAGCATTGGCTGAAGTAGAGGAATAAGGCACGAATGAGTAATGAGTGTCCGATCCCTCTGCTAGTTGTTTGTGGGTGTTAGCCATTTCGTGGGCCATAAGTACATGCTGCTCAGAAAAAGATGAATGTGAATGCTCTTTTGGCTTGGGGAACAATAGGCAGCAGCTAGCAGTTAGCTATGCGCGCTTGGCTGAGTTGAACGTTGGGTTGAAAATTGAAGGTAACTTCGTCATTGTCTCACCCGCCCCCATGAATCCATGGGAGTTACTCTTTGGACCAAGCCTCATCTGAAACCGAGGAAACAGGGGAACACGAAATCGTGAAGTTGGTTACCAGCAACTGATACGTATCAATCTGGAGTATCGAAGTCAAATAGTTAGGGAGACGGGCGTTAGAAACGATTTTGAGTAATCAATTTGCCGCACGCGGCTGTCGCGCACCACTCATTCGCCGTTATTACAGCTCTAGCGTTCTTCATACAGCTCAATCGATATGCGATCGTTATTTTGTGCATAATTCTACTATTAGTACTTCTGTTCTTGTATTTCTTACCTACTGCTGCATCCTGCTACATTCCTTCGCGCGCGACGCCCCTCACCGCGACGCGACCATCTCGTTCCTAACGCATCACCCCCAAATAGTTACAGCTGAATTAGGATTTATAGTTCCCATTCGCGATTTGTAATCGATACGTATCAAATGCTCACAGCGGAGTCTGCGTATTCAAGATTTCATATGCGTTTTCACACTTCACAATTCCACTTTTGAGTGGTACCGTTTTTAGGAGATGCTCGTCTTCTGAAGTTAGGCCTGTAGGCAATCTCCTTCATGAATGGGTAGCACCTTTTCAACTGTGCTTTCACCACCATAGAATGATTCCGGCCGGCAAGAGTATGGAAATCGTTAAAATTCTCGAATATCGCGACCTTGTCATAAGCTTTTGTTAAGTATAGCATACGGTAACAGATTGTCCATTTCCCCACCACACATTGTCCAATTACTGAGATAAAAAGCACACGAAAGGCAACACCCCCGGAAAGCTGCCAGAAAGATTCATCAAGTCGCAATCCCTTCAGTATGGCACGTAGCTGACCAGCGTTTCCCGGTGTTTTTTTATTTATTTTGACGGATAGATTGCTATTTTTACTACGTTGGTTGAGCAAAACTTAGAAAACAGGAACTCACATATGAAGCACATTGTCTAAGAGCGCAAAGGGACCTTGCCACTTCCTGTCCTTGGCAAATACATGAGAAAACCGGTTCATTGATTCTTTATATATGTATTTTTAGGTAAAAATTCACCAATAATTTAAGGAAAAGAAGAATATCACATTGTAAAAGATCTAATAGTTATTACGTAGATGAGATTTTGAAGGGGTAATTTCACTGGACGAAAGGGAAATGGCCAAACATGTAGTTTTTTCTTTTTGGATCACACCAAATTTCATAGAAACAGTGCTTATACGAGCGCGAGGCCTATCAGCGAGGAAAACTTGCTTCGATACAGTATTCACATGCTCACAACCATTATGCGAAGGCGAGAACATATGCTCAGAATTTAGCATCGGGAACACCATTTTTTCGCGCCTTTCGATGAAATTAGTGGCCTAGAAGACAGAAAAGCGCACTATCTACAGATATTTTTAAGAGGCGACGAAAAACAAAAAAACAGGGGAGAAAAAAAAGAGGTTATGATAATGTAGTATCTAAACAGTCATTACTAATACAATCAATTTGTCATTGAAATGAACACTCACCACTATGCGATAGTGAGGATACGAATAGAACCGAAACAACAAGAAACATACGTCACCTCACCAAACGAGTAACTCGCCACCACACATAGGGAATGTGGGTCAATGTGCACGAAAACATTAAATCGTACACACATATAATACGGTCAACGTTATTAACAGTTGCAGTCCTTCTTCTCTTGTCCTGCATTAGCCGCCGCACGTGGCAAATTCTGTTTTGGCTGTACACCCGTGTCCGCTGCATTCAGATCAATGCTAAAAAAAAGACACTGGCTTAAACGAATCTACTTTTTTAATATTCATGCACTTAAAATTGTAAAAATTGAAGCCTGACTAATCAGGAATAATGCAAACAAAGATGTGAACATGGGCATGGAGCCGCAGATCGCTGTACACACAAAGTACATAGACAGATGTCCAATATTTTGAATAACAGCTGATGTGTGATGCATTCCACTACTGCAGAGTAATTACCATACCAATGCATACCAGCTACTCCAGTTTTTTAAACCATTGAGTGGAAGTTTCAATGGGGCCAAATCTTATGACAGTCCTTACGACAGAGGAGTATACCGTCTCTGCACCTGCCCACAACGGCCTAGATAAACGCAGCACTGGAGGGCTTGACGCAATACTCCATCTACTTCGAAACAAAAATTCAACTTCTACTCAAGCTGGGGTTTGCATACTGTTCTTCTCTCAGGAGAAAAAAAAAGCCGTTCGTAGGCGTGTCCACACCAGGCAGCCTGACC